TAAAGGTCTGGGGCAATGTTGGGGGCTCGCTTTGGGAAGTTGCCATCAAACACCCTAAACCCTAAACCCTAGACCCTAGACCCTAGACCCTAAACCCTAAACCCTAAACCCTAAACCTTAACCGAACCCCCCCCCACAGAACCCTAGTCTGATTATGGAGGCCCCGATATTAAACCGAAGACCCCCAGTCCGAAACTCCCAATTTTGGGAGTTTCCGGAAATAAGGGGGTACCTTCCTTAGGATAAGGATCCGACTATTAGGGTTTAGGGTTTTGGGTTTAGGGTTTAGGGAGCTGTATGGGAGTTTCCGGAAATAAGGGGTACCTTACTTTGGGGTCCTTAGGATAAGGATCCTACTATTTAGGCTACCGTATTAGGGTCCCCTATTTTCGGAAATCCCCTAATATCGGGGACCAAAATCATCGGAAGAGGGCTTGGGCGTATACTATAGTTCAACTATTTGGGAGATATAAGGGAAACCTACACCTTCTTCGAGAAGCGTGTTTTTGCGTATATTGTCGTATAGCTATAATAGGCACTATGAGGGAACAATATTAAACACTTTTCCGACCCCTATACGAAGCCTGAAACCCTCAACCCAGAGACTGAAATAGACCTTACTTAAGGAATATACCTTAAATCATATTAGGGATCCTACTATAATCTACAGTATGTTCCTTAATTGAAGGCTTAATTCTTGTAGTACACCCTTCTAGATCCCTTTAAGGAGCCCTTTTTAAGGTCTCTTCCTTAATTAAGGGGTATTGGAGTCTTTGGGAAACCCTCAAGAAAGCGCCGCTGAGGTTGTAGCTCTCCAGGATCCATCGGGGGCACCTGAAAGGTTTGACACAGGGGATCAGCCGGATTTGGGGGTTTAGGGTTTGGGGTTTGGGGTTTGTGGTGTCAAGTTTGGGGTTTGGGGTTTAGGGGCTTCGGGGTTTAGGGTTTTGGGTTTAGGGGTTTTGGGTCGAGGGTGTGATAAGGGGCTTGCCTGGTACGGGTTTGAAGGTTCTTTTTTTTCGCAGGTTGGTACGGGTATTACAATCTGGTTTCAGGAATCTTTTCTGAGGTCACGCCATGTCTTCAGGCTGCTTCATGATTCTTAACTTACAAGGTCACGACAGGTCTGCGGAGGATACGGTTGCAACAAGTTTTCGGGCATTGTGCACGGCGTCCATAGGTTTAACTTTGCCTGTTCTGTTTTGCAGTCCTACCCCATACTCATGTGGTGTGATAATGGTCCATTTCGCAGGCCAGTCCGCTATTGCAGCTAACGATAAGGGATCGTTACGGGGCGATTTTGCGATCTATTCTCCCATCCTACACAGGGTTCCAAATCTGTGGGTTTCCATGGAGGCACCCTTAGGAGATTAAACATCCTATAGGAAAAACCCACCAAGCCCTCCGTAACCTCTTCAGAACTTGTAGGACCGTATCAATCTCCAAAAGCCCTAGATGCCTCAGTTAATGTTACTAAATACTCAGGCCCCGAAAATATCTTGGGCCCGGCACATTCTTGTCCACCTTCGCGGGCAAGCTCGCGCTGATGTCGAAATCCTCGAAGTCGGCCTTGCTTACCCAGAAAGCCCAATTCCCTTGTGGTTAGGAATTAGGAATGCTGCTATGCTAGAACGAGGTAATATAGGGGCCGTAGAAATTACCAATATTGTGTTCGGGATTTCTGATTACAATTATTGAAAAATTTACCCCACAGCCCTATTCTAATTATTCAGGCCCCTATGTTGGAGGGCTCTCCAGGTAATTGTACATGTGCTGATAATGCGTGCTGGCTAAAGCATATAACCAAGGATACTAGGTTTAAGCCCTAAACTGAATGTGCTGGCACCCCACTGTATTCCAACGTAGCTTAATCTAGCTAGACCTACCTGGCTACCTAGCCATCTATCTTTTGCCAAACACATAGCTTGTTTCTAAAAGTATATGTACTTACAGGGATAAGCCTCTATGATGACAAATGTACAGACACAGACTGACACGCAGAGACGTAGGCACATGACTGGTTCCGCAGGGCATCCTTCCAATCTCAATTCCAACGATCTCGCAAAGCTCAATCTAGACATCACACGCAGAGCTCACATCACCAAACCGTCGCCCCGAGCCCTAAACTTTACCCGAGTGCACTGCTAGAGATTAACAGCAGGTGCCGCTTAACATCTGCACTCGGGTCTTTCGGGTTGGCCCGATGGTGTAAGATAGGGGCCTTAGTACTTAGAATAGGATGAAAGGGTATATTATACTATACTTACAATCCGCAACCCCCCAGAACCCTGTTCTAATTATTAAGGCCCCTACATTACTCTGAGATCCAAAACCCACACCAAACGATCCGCAGCTGGCGCGCCGCCGAGCCGGCGCTGCGCCTCACCGACAGGGGGTTCACCACCTTGAGCGCCGAAAAGGTCCGCTTGGCCAAGATCTCGCCGAGGGCGACCGGCGTGTAGAGCTTGTCGCGCGTATGTTCCCAATACATTCGTGCCAGCACCTCTTCCGCGCCGAGAAGCTCGTCGGCCGGGAAGGACCGAGGCTCGCCGCCGAGCAGTACCTTGTTGTACTCGTCGACGAGGCGGCCCCACTCTGGGAAGTTCTTGGGGGGCTTCTCGCCGGCTGTGCAGTTCCCACTGCCGGCTGGCCTCGGACCACATGGCTCGGAGGACCGCCTGTGCCACCGGCGCCTCTGCGTCCGACACCTTGAAGTACGCTACAGCCCCAAACTTCAAAATGCTCGAGCTCCAAGCCTAAAAGCATTGTGTTGCGCGCCTGCAACATGGAAATTATTATCCCTGCCATGTAGGAAACTACGAAATCGACCTCTGCTATTTCCCAATCTTTATGGACTCTATCGGAAGGATATCACTGATTCCGAAAGCTCCACAAGGATCTTACAGATAAGACTTTCTGGGATGTGTCTCTTTACCGAAAAAGTAGGTTGCTGATCTTTGGTACAGCCGCTGTACAGTCATATGAAACCTTGTACTTAGAGGATCGTGGGACATAGCAACTAGGTTATAAATAGGGACTTTACTTAAATTCAGTTATAACCCAAGGAAAGGTACTTGTAGCTGTACTTACTAAGGCCCATGAACTTCAGAACCTCTATTGAGCCCTTGTAGAAACCGTATGAAACCTAAACCCTAAACCCTAAACCCCTAAACCCTAAACCCTAAACCCTAAACCGTCCCTTTAAGTTACCTAAGGCCCATGAACCTCCAAGTAGAACCCAGGGTTCCTCTGGCCGCTTTCGCAACGTCCATTCCTAAGAGTAGCTCTCTGAAATTAGGGTCCTTATTTCGGTCCCAAACTAGTGTGGCACCCTAATCCTAAACCCTGCACCCTAAACCCTAAACCCCTAAACCCTAAACCCTAGTTTAGGGAACTACCCTGATGCCGGGGCGCCATTCGACCCTCTTCTTGGCGCCTCGTGCGCTTGCCGCGGTGTGTTTAGGCTTTTGGGGAATTTGCCCTACTTGTGGCTCACAGGACCTAGCTTATCCTATCTGTTTAAGGAGCTGTATATATATATATATATAGAAACCAAAATAAGGAACCCCAAGACGGGGTAGGTCTTTTCGGCTGCAGCTAGTGCCTGGGGTTTGGGTGTTTGAGGGCTTCTCGGGTTCCCTAAGCCCCAAGCCCCTAAAGATTGACATCATTAGGGGTTCGGGGTTTAGGGTTTAGGGTTTAGATAAAGTTTTTTTTTTTCTACGGCTTTACAAACTAGATGGGTTGTAGCAACTCTAAGGGGTAAACATGGGTAGTTCTCTAAATTCCCGTCCCTGTTTAGGTCCCCAAAATAGTACGGCACCCTTATAAAAGGACCCCAAAAGGAATCCTATTTTACAGAACTACCCATATAAAGAGCTCTGAGGCTTGTACAAGATGCCTCTTAGTGCCTTCTGTGGGACGCGTAATGTAGGGGCCTTAAGAATTGGAATAGGGTTTTGGGGCCCATTGTACTACAAATACAATAAGGAACATCAAAATAATATAGGTAATTATTGAGGCCCCTGTGTTACAGTTCTCTGCAGAGGCCTCAATGAGTCGAACGTGCATCACAAACCCCAAAGCAGGCGCCTGAACAATTAGAATGGGGTTTTTGTGTATTGTAGTGAAAGGAACCCTTAGGAGATAATGTAGGTAAACGGACTGATCCCATATGCGATTGTAAACAAGCATTAGAAGCCCCTATATAAACCCTAGCTTTTCGAGTCTAGCATATTATAGTTGTTGAAACAGCATAAGGAGATGTTATTGATTGCTCTTATGACCCTCGTAAATTCACAATAGATGATTGGCCAACCTCTCTTTGCGTCTTGATGATAAATCGTATCAAAATGTACCCTTCTAGGTTCTGTATAGTTATAATGCACCCTACCTCCAAACCCTATATTGAAGTTACCAAGGCCCATAGATTAACCCATCTGGGGGTTTCCCAAAATAGGGGACCCTAATATAGTACTCTAAATAGTAGGATCCGTATTATAAGGACCTGAACCCTAAACCCTAAACCCCAAAATAAGGTACCCCTCATTTTTGGAAACTCCCAAGCTAGTTCCGATTTCGTAAGCTGCCCTGGCTTGGCAGCTCTTTCCAAGCTGAAGTTTTCTGCGTTGTTTGTGTTTAGGTTTAGGGTTTAGGGTTTAGGGGTTTTCTTGCTGGGGATCATAGAAAGTTAGAGTGTATTGCAAGTCAGACTCCAGGAGGGTAATGTAATGCAATGGGCCTCGATACAACGAATAGGGTTATTGTCTATATGGGTGGTTGTCAAAATTATGGTCCCTTTTTGGGTCCTTATTATAATACGACACCTATTATTTAGGGTACCCCCAAAAGGGACCATAATTTTGATAACTACCCATGTAAGGGCCCCCCGCACTTCCAAGCTGCCCGGTGCGGGCCTGAACAGAACAGGGTCTTGGGGCGAACAAATCATCAACACAACAGGATCCATGTTAGGTTAAAGGAAACTACAGGTGGGGAGTTTAGAGTATAAAGGGCTTCTATAAGGCTTCTATAAGGCATATAACGGTAACTACCCACCTGAAAATGTCCTAGATTAGGAGCCCACGTAGGAACCACGTGGTTTCTTAACCAGGTTCCAAATTCAGAGGTCTGAGTAATTTCATTTCATAAAGTTTTCCTCAGGGTTCCTTGATAAGTTTATAAAATTTATAGTATAGAACCCCTCCAACCCTAGTCTGTTTGTACAAACCTGTATAGGGAATTAATTGTTCAAGCCTCTATAGCGCCTAGGGCGTTTGTTGCTATCGTTACGGCTATTGCCTATCACCCAACGCACGGCTAATGGTCGCTGCTGAGCCTCGTGCAAGCCCCTCAGCAGCCCATGAGTAAGTGCAGCCCGAAAAGACCCCTTCGGGGTCTGGGCTTTGGATATTGATGGTTCGGGGTTTTAAGGCATTTTCGTCGGAGTTCTTGCAGAGGAACATCCATGAGGTCATATCAAGCTGATGTGGGCTTGAAAAGGCTTTGTCATGCTTGCGGGTCTGGGGCTGGGGCAGGTGATGTGGAGCCGGAATGCACACAGGCAGAGCGATGGGGCGTGCGGTTAGGGTTTAGTCATGCCGATGACCTTTCCCTTTAACCCAGACCCCCAAAAGGATCTAAAAAATAGATCCCCTAATTGGGGACCCTAACTACTAAAGGGTACTTTATAGGAACCCCTTAGGGGATCTATTTTTTAGATCCTTTTGGGGGTTTGGGAAGTTGTTCATCTGGTGCCAGACTAAAGTCCCTCGCCGTGGCAATCAGATCGGAAAGGAACAGGCCGCTAGCGTGAACCCCTGGAGGAACCTATCAAATAGATGCCTTCCATGGCGTCCTTTAAAGTTCCCACTGACAAGCTCCTAATGATGGGCATGCCAATCCTGTCCGACGCCCCCCCCCTGCTAAACTCCTGGAACGCCCCTCGCAACTCCCTTGTAGAACCCTTGTAAACAAAAGCAACCTATACCCTAAACCCTAAACCCTTGTGAACAAAGCAAACTAAAGCCTAAACCCTAAACCTAAAGATTTCATCCTTTGGCCTTCCTCTGATGGCCGCTGCACTCAGAGAGCCCCTACTTACTAAGTAAGATTCGTAAGGATGCATCAGGGGAGAAACACATGGCAAAATTCCAAAAGTCTGCATAACCCGCGGAACCCCCCCTCCAAGTAAACACACACACACACACAACAAGCACACCCGGAAAACCCTAAATCCTAACGCCCCCCAACCCTAAGACTTTCAATCCCTGAATAGAAACTCCTAACCCCCTTAAACCCTTAAACCTTAAGTGCCAAAAGGGATACATCCGCCCGCTCTTTTCGAAAGCGCCCTGTGCGGAGGAGTCGAGAGGCTTCGCTGGGTCTTCGCTGCGAAGGCCATGCAACGCTCTTCTGGGTTGAATATCGGGATTGGAATAGGGTTTGGGGGTATATTATACTATAATTATAATCAGGAGCCCCCAAAACCTTATTCTAATTATAAAGGCCCCTACATTAAGGGGTTAGGGTTTAGGGCCAACTCTGCCCAGAGCCAATTGAGGATTTTCAATACCCTTGTGGGTGTAGGGATTTTGACGATGGCTGCTACAAGGGTACCTACCAAGGCTACTGAAAGGTCGCTAAAGCTCCACTCTGCCGGAAACTTGGGGATTAAAGGCCTTTAGGACGTTAGAGAAGTCGGGGGCTTTCGTACTGGGATAGTACTGCTACATATTCAACCCTAAACCCTAAACCCAACTCTCCCTAAGCTTGGGCTTTAGAAAAGGCTTCCACGGGTTCCATCACGGGGGCTTCAGGCTTCGAGGCTGAAGTACTGAGGGCTTTCGAGGAGCTCCTCGGAAGGGCTTTACCCACTTTAAGGAATACACCATAGGGTCCCTTAAGGGGTTCCTTTAAGGGATCTATAGGGATCTATAGGGTTTAGGGTAAAGAGTATACCTTAAATCATATTAAGGATCCTACTATAATTTAAGGCATATTCCTTAATTAAGGGGTATTGGAGTCTCTGGGTACAACAGTTCTACAGGATGCTTCAGCAATGTAGGGGCCGTAATAATTACCCATACTCTTTTTTTGGGGGTCTTTACTACAACTATAGCATAAGATGCCCCAATACCCTATTCTAATTATTAAGGCTTCTACCTAAACCCCAAGCCCTAAACCCTATAAGCCCAAATCCCCAAAGCCCCTAAAAGGTGATCTACATGAGCCCTTTAAGACGGGCCCTTCTAGAACCATGTAAAAGGAGCTCTTTTTGCAATTGTAACCCCTATGAAACCATGGTTTAGGGCTTAGGGCTTAGGGTTTAGGGCTTAGGGTTTAGGGTTTAGGGCTTAGGGTTTAGGGTTTAGGGCTTAGGGTTTCGGGTTTAGGGCCTACTTTACCTGTCCCGAACTAAAGATTAACCTTTGGGATTCTATAACCCTTACCCTCGAAGGACTCATATTTTTAGGCTTTTTGACCCAAAGACCGTATTATATGAGGCTTTTGGGCTATTTTGATGCTAAGGGTACAGGTTATAGTATCCTAAAACGGTCAAAGGTTACGTACTCTACTGCTAAGGCTTTAGATGACGTAAGGCGAAGGTAGGGGACAAAGACGATCAGGCTTGATGACCCTACCTCGAGGACCTTGTTGCCTAAATTTTCGAATGCATCAGGTTTATGTTTTTGTGCCACTGCCCTGAAACCCCAAACCCTAAAACCCCAAAACCCAAAACCTAAAACCCAAAACCTAAAACCGCAAACCCTAAAACCCCAAAACCCCTAAACCCTCAAACCCCCAAAACGAAGGGTTGCCGGCTTACTTGGAGGATCATGGGACTTAGTAGCTAGGGTTATAAATATAAGGTAGCTATAATAATAACCACAATTAGTACTTATAACCTTACTTACCAAGTCCCTAAACCCTAAACCGGTAAGGGTTGCCGGCTTAGGATTTCGGCCGCAGCCCGAGATCCTGGCCCCAGGGCTTGGGGGAAGCACTTCAGGGTTCTTGCGACTGAGGAGTTTCCGAAAATAAGGGTTTAGGGTTTAGGGTTTAGGGGGGTACTTGGAGGATCATGGGACTTAGTAAGTAAGGTTATAAGTACCCTAATTGTGGTTATAATTATAGTTACCTTATTCATAACCCTAGTTACTAAGTCCCATGATCCTCCAAGTATTTTGGGGTCCTTATAATGAGAAACCCATTTTTAAGGGTACTATATTAGGGTCCCCTATTTTTGGAAACCCCCACTTAGGACTACCAATAACGTAGCTATACTCATACGGTTGAGGGTTTAGGGTTTAGGTGGGTTTAGGGTTTAGGGTTTAGTTACTATACTTATAATTAACTGTTCTTACTAAGTCCCCTGAACCTCCAAGCAGCTTTTTTGAGTTTCTGGGTTTTGGGTT